AATGTGCAAAATTATTCTTCACAATTTATTTTCATCGAGGGGCCCGTAATTATCGGCTAATAGCAACACGACTCAGCCCCCCTATGCATCTTAAATGATACTAGTTTACAAATAATAACTTGTTTAGGTAATACATCTTTTAGTGAAATTATTATTTTTATGTTTATATGCCTCTAATTAAACAAAATTATTTGTTAATTTTTTTTAATTACGTCACAGATTTGTGTTACTAACGATAATTATTCTGCTTTCTGTACAAATAATTTAAAATATATTTAAAATTCAAACTGTTGCTGATAAAATTAATAAATAAAATAAAATAAATAAAATTATCACCAGATAGGTCTAATGGGTCTTAAAATACATTTTGTTAACCCGTATTTGGACATAAAACATAAAGAATTACTAAAAACTTAGGCAGCATGAGTGACGAGCCGAGCGACTTGAATGGTTTCGAAGATCCGCGCAAAGGTTTTTGGGATGAAAATATTATTAAATGGTAAAATTAAAAAAAATATTGTATAGGACATTGATAGATACTAATCGAGTGCATCACCTAAAATTATTTTCAACCATAAAGCATGTCCCCAAAAAAAAGTTACGATACAAACTTGTGTTTTTTTAAATGAAACACCGTATATTTCTTTTCATTTTTGGATCTAATCTTTTAAAACAATGTTTTTACGCTAAACTTTTATTAGTCGATTTCGTTTAGTTTTAGAAATAAGATGTTTTTTTTGACGAAAACATGCACTTTTTAAAAAATTTACACAAAAACTAAGACAGTTAGAACAAATTTTTTCTTACTTCTGCAAAGAAGAAAGTACAGAGTTTAAAGTTGTAGCAATTTTTTAGTGTTTTGCATTTGTAAAGATTTATAAATTAAGAAGTTTGTTAAAAGTTAAATAACTTAAAAAATTTAAATAAACACCCTATTTTTTATTTTTGCTTCTGATAGATTGATAAATTGTCTCTCTAAAAAAATTAATTTTTAATGTCTAGAATTGATAAATAAAAAGATATTTAACATTTAATATTAATTGTATATAGATTGTAGCAACAATGCCTAACAATATCCGAGTATTGTTGATACTATGGCAACCTTAGTAATTCCACCAGGGATCACTTATCTGTTGATTTACCAATTCCATTTGAATTTTTTAAGTTATTAAACTTTTAACAAACGCCTTAATTTTTTTATATCTTTGCAAATGCAACACACTAAAAAATGTTACAACCTTATAGCTTGTACCTTCTTCTTTGTGGTAGTAAAAAAATATTTCTAGATGTCTTAGTTTTTGTGTAATAAATTTTTAAAATGATGTCTTCGTCAAAAAAACCGTCTTATTTTTAAAACTAAACAAACCCGACAAATAAAAGTTTAGCTTAGAAACATTGTCATAAAAATCTACATCCAAAAATGCTAAGAAACATACGATGTTTCATTTAAAAAAACACAAGTTTGTATTATAACTTATTTTTGAGACAGGCGGAATACTTAGTTAAAAATAATAATTTTAGGCGATGGACTAGATTAGTCACTAATGGACTTTTTCAACTTGCTGGGACACCCTGTATTTCGTAAACGTGTCGTGGAGGACTTTTTAAATATTTTTTTTGAACTCAGTGCCTCAAAATCTATAAGAAATTATAACTTCCAGGTAAGGTATAAAAATCGTGTAAACTAGTGTAATTCTTAAATTTTTTTGGAATGTTGATTTTTTCTTGAACACTTGATAATGTTGGTCCATAACGTAAATATTGCTAGGGGAAATTCTCCAATAAGGATCGGAATTCTGTGCTGTAACAGCTCAATTTGTTGGGTAATTTCTTTCATAGGGGTCCACCCGTGGATTCCCTCTCGGGTAAAAAATGCACTTTATTGAGAACCGCTGATGATAAGTAAGAGTGTTGACCCCCTGCCATGAAGACAGGGTGGAAGGCAGACACACCGGGTCTTAGTTGCAGCTGCGGCTCCTTTGTGCCGATCAAGGGGCGAAAGGTAAAGGGTGTAGGGCACGCGTCTGCACACCCCTTTGCCCTCCGGTGCATTACCTGCATACACCCGATTAATGAACTAAGCTCTGCCGTGAACCGAACCGTTTAATTAAATACCGGTCTTTTTGTTACGTCAAGTCGGCTTATTTCCATTGTGATTTTTATGAAATGGGTAATTGGCTTCTCCTGAGACGTTATCAACGTCTGGAACACCTGATAAGAGCTGGTAAAACAGGTGTCAAATTATGTATTGGCAACAGGTGTCGTGTTGTTGATGTGAATGTAGTTCAGGAATAATAAGACACCCTCCTTTAAGGTGGGTTCCTTTGAAATCACGGCGACCTACTGAGGGGTTGTTAAGTAGCTCGGGCTGCACTTGTGGAGACACGGATGTTGAACAGTCAATGGTCGGTGACTTGAGGGGTTGTTCTTAGAGATTTACGACGACACAATGGGGAAACGAGACAGTCTTTAAGCTTACCTCATTAAAATTCATCCACCGGCAAAGTGAAAGTGACAAGTGACGAAACATGGCGACGACAGGGTTTGAAATGAAGAAAATTAAAGGGAAGGCTACGAAAAGTGATTATTTTTATTGAAAAAGTGGTGGAATACAAGAGTATCTACCTGCAAGGCGAAAGTTCAAAAAGTTTTATCTACGTTTTTAATAGGAATTTACGTTAGATATCATTAAGTCCGATAAGTCAAATATTAGACGACGAATTAGATATTTAATAAAATAATAATATCGAAATGAGTACCTATATACTGTAAGAGGTTTACCAGATATACAGGGTGTTTTATAAAAATAAAGAAAAGAAAAATGCTCATTAAGATAAGATACCAGGAACATGTTTAAAAAATCCTAAGTCTGTCAAAAATATTTGATATTTATTTTTTGACATTTGACATTTTTTATGTCTATTGTTCCCGATGATCCAGTATAGGTATGTTTTTTCATAATTATTCAGTAAAGGTACAAAAACTTTGTCAATAAAAGCTACAAATAACGTTAAACATATAGTTTCAATTCAGGATATACCTAGCTTCTTTTTTGTAGCAAAAGAACATGTAAAATTATTTTTCCAACAAATAGAGTTAAAATGCAAAATCTAAACCTCCATAATTTTAAAATGCTTATAGATAATATTTTTTAACAGTTTTTCATCTTCTTGGTATCTTATTTTACTTGGCATTTTTCTTTTTTTTGTGTTTTTATAAAACACCCTGTAAGTAGGTATATTGTAACGTATTTTGTTTCATACTGTTTTAAGAAGATTTGCCAAAAAAAATGATTTCACATTTTATTGTAGAGTGGAACCTCGTTAAGTCGAAGTATGTACAGTTGTGGACGGTAAAAACTAAGACACTTTAACAAATTCAGAATTTTGTCGTTGTAAATTATCTTGAAACTGAAGTTTCTAAAATGTCATTCAAATAATACAAATCAGTGTCGTAGAGTGGAACTTAAATTTTGTACACAAAAATAACTAATATTTTATTGCAACACCATCCGAATACGAAAATTTGAAACTGATATAGTCATCGTTAATGAAAACCCAATTTACATTTTACGAATTTTGAAAACAGCAAATAGTATAGAAATCTCTGCCCGAAAAAGAAATAGCGTAAGTCACCATTTCACCCGATTCACCCTGGTTTACCCTATATGACAAAAGTGTATGTCTTAGTTTTCAAGGGCCGCAACTGTACAAAAAAATTATTCGTGTTATTGTTGATTTGAATAAGTTGAATTGATGATTTCTAATAAGTATATGTATTGTTTTATTTGAAAATTATAAAATCTATACAAAAAATACTTCTTATGATAAATATAAATAAACATACCTAAATTCAGTACAAGTACAACAAAAATTTGAAATTGCATATGTATGTAAATATAGATTTTATTCATTTGTCTTCGAGGTGACAAAGTAAACCTTTTATTGAAGACTGTCTGATACAATTTTCCTATTTTTCGAAAAAGCTTTCACAGGCCTTAAATTTTGTGTAAACAGACGGAAAATTACATTAATTTCTATCAGTAAATGCTCGGGATCGTCTGATCACTTCCACCTATCGAAATTTCGAAATTTAGAGGTTCGATTTATTGAGGTTCCACTGTAGTTAAAAAGTTGAATTTACTGTAAATGGGAAATGCTGTTGTAAATAAAGTCTTATTTACGGTAAGTCGTACCTACTTCGTTACACTCACCGCTTCTGATATACCGTAAAAGCTAATTTTCCGAATTTACATGGTGCTGAGAAGATTATATTAGCAGATAATATGTAAAAAAGTGTCTTTTCTTTTGATTCCTTCAGGTTTGCAGAAATAAAAAATTATTTTATGTTTACAATGATTTTATTCATTTTTCACTTGAAAAAAGTCTCTTTTCAAGAAATACAAGCTTTATAGTTGGATACCTTCTTGATTTAACTAAATTTCAGTGTTCATGACAATAAAGTGTGTGAAATAAAGTGTGTAAATGTGTTAACAAAAAGGGAAGAACCATGAAAAGTGTCCAGTCGTGCACATTGCCCATTTAATTAAGCCACCGGAAATGAGACATCAATAAATCTCGAATAAAATAACGGAAAACATGAAATTGTGGGGTGGCAAAGCAATAACATCCAATACCCCCCGATCAAACCTCGTGAAAAAATCGACGGTTAAAGCAATTAACAAAAAATCCCACAAGACTCGTCCACCCCCAAATCGCACCATCGAGGGTGTTGATGACCATCTGCAGGGGAATCCTGCTAATGATTTGTTGTCGAAGACCGTTACACCACTATATTGTCTCCGGATCGAGCATGTAAAATCCGTTAGTGCCAGCTTTTCCGGGTAACTGAACTTCCAGATTTCTCCCAGCCAATGGCCAGACGAGGAGGGGCTTCCAGCGCCACCCCGCGCAAACTCCCTTCGCTCTCGAGGCGGGGAGTCAGCCCTGATTGGGGGCAATCCGGAGGCTCCGGAGTCCACAAAGCGATGCGACCTCGCGGTAGTCAGTCGGCCGCCGCACACCCCGAGGGATGCCTCGCGTCTATCACCACCATGAGATGGAATTCGCCGCTTTTCGCCCCGGCTTTGGCCAGCCGACTGTCCTCCAACGCCTGGGCCTGGAGCCCCATCTGCTGTCCTCCACCGTGCACCTGCAGCAGTACCTGCGCTACGCGGAACCCCTAGAGCTGGCCTACCCCCTGGACCTGAGTCTCAAGAGCCAGACGCCCATCACGCCACCCTGCACGCCGTCCCCGGGAGTCAAACGCGCGCAGTCACCCGCTGAAATCTCGCCCAAGAAGAAGGCCCCGAGTAACCCCACGCCGAAGAAGTCCAAAGCCACGCGGAAGCTCAACTTCGACGAGGATAACAGCTCGCCGGTCTCGGGCACCATCATCAGGGAGTTGCGTCCGGACGAGCACCTGGTGGTGCGCAAGGGCGACATCGACCCGGCGTTCAACGTGGTGGAGGTCACCGAGGAGGCCAAGGCGGAGTTGGCCAAGATCGAGAACCACATCGGGGATTATGTTTGCCGCCTCTGCAAGGAACTCTACGAGGATGCTTTCGGGTTGGCCCAACACAGGTGCTCCAGGATCGTCCACGTGGAGTATCGATGTCCGGAATGTGATAAGGTTTTCAACTGTCCGGCGAATCTCGCCTCGCATAGGCGGTGGCACAAGCCCAGACCCACCAATAACAACAAGGAGAGCAAAAGTGAGGAGAATGAGGACAGTCCGGAACAATTTCCTTGCGGGGAATGCGGGAAGAGGTTCAGGAGGATTGCTTATTTGAGAAAACATCAAGCGATTCATCAGATTGACTGACAAAGACTTGTTCCGGTTAGACCTATACCTAGGATGGCGCCTAGGCTTTGGAGACCTCCACCGTTACCACCTGTTCAAGTCAGTAGCGCCTCCGAAAGGTATGTACCCAGTATTACGTGGCTGAACCATTTCTAAGTTTTGTAAATTTTGTAAATGGTGTACATAACTATCAACTTTTCTAGTCTATCAAACTAGTCATTTTATTTTAATCTAGTCTAAGCGGAGTACAAATTAGTTTAATTATTTAGTCACTGTATCTAGTCTACGTGCAACCGGTTGCAATATTTAACTTTCTGCAATTCTAGTCGTTTTATTTTTCTAGTCAAATAATATTTCTAGTCCATTCTTTAAACTAGGTACGAGTATTATCTGTTTCAAGTTACTGTGGACATTATTATGTCAGGTGTGTTTGGAAAACTCTCAAAAATTTATTACTTATTAATTCATTATTAATTCGTTGGCAGAAACTTGATTTTCCTCCACGGAAACTTGGAACAGATGTTTTTTCTAGTCAGTGGTATTTAACTAGTCCATGATTGCAGCTAAAGTCTTTCATTGTGTGTTGTATAGGGAAAATGCTTGTGATATTATGTAATAATTTATTAGTTTTAAGCGTCTTGTACCAAAATCAAAATAGCTGTAAGTTTAATTAGGTGCCAAATTTTCGAAGTGAAAAAGCTCGCACCGTTTAAAAAAAATATCTAGGTTAATAAAGTGCGGGCAAGGGAAAAAGTTTGCAATAAGCTTAAAGCAGCAACTTACCACACTTAAAAACAGTCAATTGAGTTGTTTTATTTAAAAAATGTGTAAAACACTTACGTCTGGTCCGAATCTAGTCTTTAATTACTTTAGTCATCACCCTGTATCTAGTCTAAGTTAGTCTTATTTATTTAATTTAAATAGAAATATTGTGTAAATCTATAAACCGCGAGTGATTCTAGTCAAAATGTAGTGTGTCACGGGCACAAATGGTTTTTGTTTTTCAATTTTTGAAAAATACTGTCCAAATAAATGTGTTTTGATCTCGGCCCGTTGGCGTTAGTTGTAAGCGATGTACATTTTTGTAAATGGAATGTAATTTAATGTAAATAAATGCACTGATGTATTTCATTTCTGAGTCTAAGGCATTTAATAAGAAAAAAATACCAGATTTTCTTAGCTGGCACAAGAGAAAAAAAATCGAATATATTTATTAGAACATCTTTTTTGAGGGCAAAAAAACGTAAACTAACGACAGGAGAAAGATATATATCTATTCGAGTCAAAAAATATTCAAGAACGGCAAGATATAAACCGATTAAAAAACTACAAATTACCGACACTAGCAGAATTAGTGAAATAATTTCAAATTTAATTACGCAATTTATTATTTATTTATTTATTTTCAGTCTTAGTTAGATAACAGTTTATTAGTAATATTGCACAAATGTATGGTTCCTGCGCTATAACAATCTCATCTCATCTGCCTTTATCTAACCCGAGAAGACGCTGCAGCCAATAAGAAAATTGCTACATTAATTTTTTCGTTTCTTACTTTTGAAATTTTTATTGTCGTCCATTCTCATTTTCTGTAGTTCTGAAACATTTTATTTGTCCTTTGTTAAATAAAGTGGATTTATGCTAAATATTTTATGCGTGATTTCTTGTCGTTCAAAAGACCTATTTTGTCGTGTCAATATAGAAAGTGATCCAGATTGAATGAATCTGTTGGCAATCCTGACTCTAATTTTGAAAGGATACCATTGGATGACGCTTTTGATTAACAACAATTCAACAATCTTGAAACTACTTGAAAGGGTTTTACGTCAATTATTATTTGTCAAGCAGGTTGCAGTGTTGGAATTGCCTCTTAGATACCTTAATACGACCGTTCATGCATAGGTGTATTACTGGATGCATATTCAAAAATAAAACCAAAAGCTAAGTGTAATAGTATATTACAAACGACATGAGATGTGTCATTATTTCGAGAGATCAGGTACATATGTCCCATCTGGCTTGCAACATCTTTTATGTCTTCGCCTTTTATAATACAATGCCCTTGGTGAAAATCAGTTAATACATACAAAACACTAACGCGTCATCTTATTTCTTTTACCTAAACATTTTATTGGCATATTAAAAAATAT